GAAGCAATGATCCAGTGCTCACTGGAAGCCTGTCCAATCCTCGATACTTTGGGATTTCTGAGGCAGGAGACAGTGTCTCACAAAAGGAAAGTGAAGAACTGAGAAGAGGAAGACTTTTATGACAATGATGATGACATATTTCTTGATTGGACTGGCCTGGTTGAAAAGAAGCTTCTAGAGTCTAAATGAAGAAGGCTGGGAAGATTGATGAAAAGCCAGAGACCTTTGAATCATTGGTTGCAAAGTTGAATGATGCTGAAAAAGAACTCTGAAATTTCTGAGAGACTGAAAGCCTCAAGCAAAGCTCTATGAGAGTCACCACCTCAGGACTCTTTAGATGCGTTCATGTCTTAAATGAACAGGGAATGCACTGGATGGTGTGTCCTGGAAGAAACTTCACCTGAGAACTTTTGAACTGAGGAAAGAACAACAGAGACTTAAAGGATTGACAAAAACTGTAAAGCCAGCAGAGATTCTGGAACTAAAAAGGACTAAAAGTCAGACTATAGATGCTGAAAAATAAGCTAAAAAGTTTACATCTTCCTTTCTTTGGTGTCATGAAAGAAGAACACAAATTCAAATTAAAAACTGGAACAGTAGGAAAGATACCCCCTAAGCGTCCTGAACTCCCTCTAATTCTAATGAGAATGAAGGCTGAGCCTAAATTAGAAGAAGAGGAGAAAGAAAAGGAGGATCAGAAAGAAACTGTCATTATTCACAGATGATATGATATTGTACATATAAAACCCTAAAGATTCCACACAAAAACTGCTAGATTTAATAAATGAATTTGGAAATATAGCAGGATATAAAATTAACATCCAGAAATCAATATTTTTATACACCAATAATGGACTCACAGAAGGAGAAATTTTTTAAAAATCCCAGTTACTATTGCAACAAAAAATTAAGATTAACTTAACTAAGGAGGTAAAAGACCTGTACTCAGAAAACTACAGGACATTGAAAAGAGATAGAGGAAGATATAAACAAGTGGAAGAATATACCTTGTTCATAGATTGATAGAATTAACATCATTAAAATGTCCATACTACCCAAAGCATTCTATAGGTTCAATGCAATCCCTATTAAAATACCAACAGCATATTTCACAAATCTAGAACAAATACTCAAAAAAATTTATATGGAACCAAAAAAAACACACAAATAGCCACAACAAACTTAGCTACTGTAATCAAAACAGCCTGGTACTGGCACAAGAACAGATCAATGAATCAGAACAGAGAACCCAGAAATCAACTCAAGCAATTATTCTCAATTAATATTTGACAATGGAGGCAAAGGCATACAATGGAGTAAAGAAAGTCTCTTCAATAAATGGTGTTGGGAAAATTGGACAGGTGCATGCAAAAAAATGAAACTAAACCACCGGCTTATACAATACACAAGAATAAACTCAAAATGAATAAAAGACTTATATGTAAGTTGTGAAACCATAAAAATCCTAGAAGAAACCATAGGCAGCAAAATCTCAGACATCTCCCATGACAATATGTTTTACAGATACATCTCCTAGGGCAAGGGAAACAAAGGAGAAAATAACCAAATGGAACTACATCGAAATATAAAGCTTCTCCACAGCAAAAGAAACCATCAACAAAATGAAAAGGGAGCCCACTGTATGGGAGAATATATTTGCCCATGATATATCTGATAAGGGATTAATTTCCAAAATATATAAGGAACTCATACAACTTAACAAAAGAAAGAGAAACAATCCAATTAAAAATTTGGAAAGCACCTCGCCTAAGTGGACAAGAGGTATGAAAAAAATGCTTAAGATCACTAATCAGCCCTGACCCGTTTGGCTCAGTGGATAGAGCGTCGGCCTGCGGACTCAAGGGTCCCAGGTTCGATTCCGGTCAAGGGCATGTACCTGGGTTGCAGGCACATCCCCAGTAGGGGATGTGCAAGAGGCAGCTGATCGATGTTTCTCTCTCATCAATGTTTCTAACTCTCTATCCCTCTCCCTTCCTCTCTGTAAGAAATCAATAAAATATATTTTAAAAAAAAAGATCACTAATCATCAGAAAGATGCAAATTAAAACAACTATGAGATATCACCTCACAGCTGTCAGAATGGCTACCATCAACAAATCAACAACTGACAAGTGCTGGCGAGGACGTGGAGAAAAGGGAACCCTAGTACACTGCTGATGAGAATGCAGACTGGTGCAGCCACTGTGGAGTTCCTCAAAAAATTAAATATGGAACTGCTATTTGACCAGTGATCCCACTTCAAGTAGAATATCCCACTCAGAAAGAATATCTGAACCCCTATGTTCACAGCAGCCCAATTTATAATAGTTAAGATCTGGAAACTGTCCAAATGCCCACCAGTATATGAGCGAATAAAAAAATTGTGGTATATCTATACCATGGAATACTACACAGCTGAAAAAAGGATTTGTTACATTTTGAAATAGCATGGAGGGACCTAGAGAGTATTATGCTAAGCAAAATAAGTCAGTCAGATAAAGTATCACATGGTCTCACTCATATGTGGAATCTAATAAACAAAATAAATGGATGAACAAAATAGATCCAGAGACACTGAAGCATGGAACAGACTGATGAATCTCAGAGGGAAGGCAGGGGTGGGTTGGTGGGCAGGTGGGGAGAGATTAACCAAAGAACATATAATGCATATATGCATAACACATGGACACAGACAATAGTGTGGTGATGGCCTTCGGGGGTGGGTCCTGGGTGGAGGGAGTCAATGGGGAAAACTAGGGACATCTGTAATACTTTCAACAATAAAGATAAAAATTTTTGAAAAAAGGAAGGATCGGGGAGGAAAATAAATAACTGGAGGCTGGAAGCAGTAAACTACATCAGGAGAGAGGGTCAGAGGAAGCAGTGCAGAAAACGAACCCTCCCACAGATCTCACATGTTTTAAAGAAACAAAACAGCATGGAAACATGTTTCTACTCAGCCAAATGGAATAGAATAAAGATTATCAAGAGACTGGTGAAACAGCTGCATGATGTGAAGAACCCTCAACATCAAAGAATGAATATGAGGAAAACGGAGATGAATTGAAGAAAAAGAAAGCTCCGGTCCAGGTAAACTTCTACCAACACTTTCCTCCAAATTCCCAGACTACTATGTGTGGGTCCTACCTCAAGGTCAAAGTGGAGATGACGGAACTCATCTTAATAACAAGTATGGCTACTGATTACTTCAGAATCCTAAAGGAAAACCTTGTAGACCATGTGACATGGGACATTTAAAATAACATATCAAGCTCAATGTCCAGAGAAGATGTTCAGAAGATCATTTATAAAATTTGGTGACTGTCCTTTTCTTTTATACTGAATTTGGCTTCCTGAATTTATCTATCCATCTGATTCTCTTGAATTTGGTATTTATGTTTAAAAGTGTTTGTGTGTATATGTATGTAAAACGGAACCATACATTTTGAGAATTAGTAAAGAAAGAGACATGACTGTTAAATTTTTTAAAAAGAACATTGCATGCTGAGGAATGGTAATCCAATGAAGGCAAGTAGGTAGGAAGGGGAATTAAGAGAAACAAGTTGAGGGCAAATTGTGTAGAATCTTAAATGCCTCTATAGAAAACGCAAACATTATCCTGGAGACAGATGAGAAGTTGAGTAATTTTTAAGCAGAGAAGAGATATCCACAGAACTTAGAAAAGTAACTTAAGTATTGGGATGGAATACAAAAAGAAGAATCAAAGGCAGAAAAACAATTTAAGAAATTGCCTTAACAACCCAGATTTTTTAAATATACAGAAATAAATTAAGAGAGGAAAGAAGTGGGAGGGAGATATTTCTGGAATGGAAAAGAGAATTCATGGCATCTTATACAGGTTAAACAAGGCTGGTACAGCAATGGGAGAAGGTTTCTATACTAGCTAATCGCATCATTTAAGATACCATTAAGTAACATAAAGAACGCAGTATGAACAGATGATTTTAGAAGTTAGTTAGGGACCTGAGAAAACATGTACCTAATAAGGAGATCTATCTACATGAGTAGCCAGAGCTGTTGGAAATTTGAACCTAGCAGGACAGCAATCAAGTTGTGAGTCATCTGCATTTAGAAAATAGCTGAAGTCATGAGAGAAAATATAAATCTGCTTAAAGAAACATATACACTTAAAGAGTATATGGAAGAGAGCCTCATAATAACCCTGTGAAGAAGTTCAGGCTTTGCTGTCCTTCATTTTGCTTTTTTAAAAATAAGGATAAAGACTGAGACTGCGAAGTTCAAGTAGTTTAATATGAGCAGGCCAAGTCACCTAAGTAGAAAGAGGCAGTACCCAATCGGAATCCAGAGTTTCAAAATATTTCTACTATAAAATCTTGTCCAGCATGCTTATTGGTACAGGTATGCAGGCTGGACTTCCTGGTATCCACAAAGCAAAATCTTAGTCAAGTTCTTAGTTTAAGGATTGGGGAATTCCATTTTTCTGGATTATCCAAGGATTGTGGAGTCCCATCAAACCAATACTTCAAAATACAAAAGTAAAATAGGTGTTTGTATAGAAAGATATAAATACACACAATTACAAATAAGCATTTTCTTATCCAATTAAAAGAATTTATGTTGCTGCTATGTTACCTTTAGATTTTATTTATAAACAATTGGAATTTGTATAAAATGTATGCTGATTTTGTGCTTGGAATCTTAAAAGTGTAAACTTTATTGATAACTATCCTCATCCCTTGAAAGACAAGACAAATCAGGCAACTAACTGATAATGGGTAAAATGAAACAATAAAGATGAGTGCAGAGATTTATATTCACAACAAGGGAAGGCTGGAAAGATTTGATAATATAAATGAAGTCCAGCCTGTCTAAGAAAAATAGTTACTGTCTCAAGTCAGCTTTCATAGAGATGAGTTCAGAACTAAACATTGCAACCTTATTATACATATGTATACAAATAAATGTTTTCACATCTTTTTTCTTAATTATTATAAAGGTATTTATAGAAATTAACATACCCTCACTTTACAATGTGATAAAAGCCCCCACATTGGCTGTGCACATGCCTCAAGTTCAGCAGCAAAGGCAGCATAGTAGGTCTGAGACTCAAATTCCACATGCTCATTTAGTTCTCGCTTGTTTAAGTTCATACCTTACAAAAATTAAAACAGATATAAGCCTTATTAATGAAAATAATATTTCCTATTAAAAATCAAATAAAATACTTCCTAGTACCAAACATATTCTAATATACACACAAATAGCAATATGTATAGAAATAAGTAAATTATTAAAAATATAACAATCTAGTCCTTTTGGAATTCTTTACAAACTAGATTTTCTTATAAATACTTTGCAAATTGTCTCTTATATAACATAATTGAATGTATTAAATTAAAAAGTCAAAATTATTTTAATTGATGCTAGTTGAAATTTTTATGAAAGCATTATGAATCTTCTTAGAGAATAGAAACTTCCAGAATAATGGTTTAAAATACTAAAAAAATTACATTCTTATTCTCCTGTTTCCTTTTTAATATTTTGACATTTTTATAACTCTGATGTATCTTCGTGAATACTTTATTAAAATATTTACAAATATCAATTAATTAAAATGAGACACTTCACATGTAACCAAATAAATTAGTAGTTGATAGCTCCGCATTACTAAAGAAATTAACAAAAAAATAAAATTCATACCTTGAAAGAAAGATACAAAGTTCATCCATGTAACTAACAGACCATGGTCCTCCAAAAATTTCTTAGCCACACTTTGATGAGAAAGAATATTAATAAAATCACTGACAAGAGGCCAGTAAGTGTTATTCTTCAGTAACGCTTCTCCACAGTTCACTACCACATGTAAACTATTTTCTTCATCTAAAACAAACACACACAGCCCAAAAATAAGTTTTAAAAAAAACTTTACAAGGATACAGATTATATATTTTAGATTCAGAGACACCTAAATTCAAACCAAGTTTTCCATTTAATATCTATATAGCTTTAAACATGTTAGACTCTGAATCAATTTCCACATCTGTAAAATGGAAAAAGACATTATCTTAAGGGAATTAAATGAAATGTTAACATAATACTTAGCACATTATAATAATGTTTACTATTATGTCCAACATACTATATGATACTGAGTTAACTATGTTTATAAAACCACTAGAAGCCCGTTGCACAAAGATTCGCGCAATAGGCCTTCCTTCCCCCGGCTGCTGGCACTAGTTTTCCTCCAGCACCCGGGACCCAGGCCTTTGTTCCGGCCAGAGCGGAGAAGCCAAGCCTCGAGGAGCCTCGAGGCTTGGCTTCTCCGCTGTGGCCCGCAGCGAGGCTTGGCTTCTCTGCTGCAGACAAGCCACTTTAGTTTTCAGTCTTCAGTCTTCACTCTGGCTGGAGCCTACAGTCTTCGCTCCACGCCTGTGAATGCAAATTAACTGCCATCTTTGTTGGGTTAATTTATATACTCATCTGATTGGCTGGTGGGCATAGCAGAGTGACACCAATTTGCATGTTTCTCTTTTATTAGTGTAGATATTATTTTCTTGATTCCAATGACATAATGCAATATTTCAGTCCAAATCAATAAATATTTTTATTCCTAGATTAATCTCATCCTTCTTAGCTATCAAATCTGTGATTTAAACTATATATTTACTTTCTACTCAAAGAATATGTAAATACAATTTCTTAGCAAAAACAGTATTTCAAAAATGAAAGAACAGAAAACACACATAAACTTAAGCCTTAAAAAAGTCCTCAAAAACATTTTTTACAGTTTCAGTTTTTAAATCTTTTTTTTGTTGATTTGAGAGAGAGAAAAGGAGGAAAGGAGGGAGACAGACAGAGACATCGACTTGTTGTTCCACTTACTTATGCATTCATTGGTTGCTTTTTGTATGTGCCCAGACCAGAGATTGAACCCACAACTTTCGCATATCGGAATGATGCTATGACCAACTGATCTACTAGGCCAGGGCAAAATCCTCAAAATGTAAATACATTGCTGGAGAGGGGGTATGCTTATATAAAATCTTTTTTTTTTTTTTTACAAAATCTTTACTAATAGAAGTTATCACATAAATGCATTAGCTCCTTAACCAATTCCAATTAAACTGATTCACTGGACAAACAAGCCCCCCAATCCCACTGTAAAATACCCTAATAGCCATAATTTACAGAATGGTTGGTATAAAAGCCTAGTGTAAGAGCCAAGTATGTATATGCTTATCCAGAGTCAGTTTTCATTTCTGTTCATATGAATTATTGTTTTTATTATAATTAGAAAATTTAAATTAAAAGTATATAAACTGATGAAATATGAAAGCATAAAGAGAAACGTTACAAAAACTGGATCATAAGCTTTTAAGAGACAATAAAGGTGCCTGAGAAAATGCTAAAATATCTTGGAGGAAAAAAATCATAAAAGCCTAGAAAGATTTTTAGACATAATGAAGCCACTAAGATCTAATGTTCCTATTCTACTTTAAGGAAACTGAAACTGAAAATCACAGATGATGCAATACAGATGTGATATATATAAAAAAGACGAAGAACTCAGTCAAGCAAACCATACCCTAAAAATGCTTTGCCCAAAATTAAGACTGGAAAATGAGCATGCATTTCTGTGTTTTAGGTTAAATGCATTGTTTAAGATAATGTATCTTTTTGTTGTTAATCCTCACCCGAGGATATTTTTCCATTGATTTTTTTTTTCTTTGTTTGAGAGAGTGGAAGGGAGAGGGAAAGACAGAGAGAGAGAAACACCAATGGGAGAAGACACATCAATTGGTTGCCTCCCGGACTGGGATGGGGGATCAAGCCTGCAACCAAGATACATGCCCCTGACCAGAATCGAACCCAGGACCCTTCAGTCCAAGGGCCAACACTCTATCCACTGAGCCAAACTGGCCAAAGCAGTATGTATCATTTTTAATGATTCTTCACTTTAACCAACTTTTTTAACTAACCACCTACTGTCAAACTCGTGAGGAGGGCTTCTACTGAACCTCTTAATTTCCATACATTAAATTTGGGTTTCAGTCTATGAAATTATTTTTCCAACTCTTGATGTTTAATATGAATACTTGCTTTCTTTTAGCAAGATTGATATCTGTTTTAATTTTTGCAAGGTATGAACTTAAACAAGTAAGAACTAAATGAGCATGTGGAATTTGAGTCTCAACTATGATGCCTTTGCTGCTGAACTTGAGGCAAGTAAGGGGACTCTATTCACACTGAAATTTAACTATATGTAAGAACAGGACCCACAAAGTTAAGTATACTCTCTTTTAGTGCTTCTCAACAGGATGAGAGAGGGTATAACTGAATGAGGAAGAGGGAGTAAGGGACTTTCTATAAATAACCCACACCTGAGATTCAGAAAAGCCCTCTGACTGACAACTACTGCCACTGTAGTTGTGAGCCACTGATATTGATGGGAGAGTGCTTAGGGATGCTGGGATTTTAAAAATATATATATACTTAAACATTGATCACTGTTCTATTTCATTAAAAACAGAGATAAATAAGCAAAATATAATTACTCAAAATCACTATTTTTCTTGACACTACTTTAAATATTAATCTTATGAAAAACACCTTAGAATCTAATAAAATAAAATGATTAGTACTTCTATTTTTACCTGCGTACTTTCATCACTAGAGAGTAATGATTCAATGTTCAATGAGAGTCAATCATCAACAATTATTTATTGAGTACCTACTGAGGACCAGGTAGTCTATTAAGCTCTGAGATTAAAGTGGTAAATAAATCGACTTATATATTTTCACCCAGCCAGTATGGTTCAGTGGTTGAGCATCGACCTACGAACCAGGAAGTCAGTTAGATTCTCAGTCAGGGCACATGCCTGGGCAGCGGGCTAGATCCCCAATAGTGGGTGTCCAAGAGGCAGCCGATGAATGATTCTCATCATTGATGTTTCTATCTCTTTCTCCCTCTCCCTTCCTCTCTGAAATAAATAAAAATATTTTTTTAAATTTTATTTTAAAAAAAGACTTATATAGTCTCTCTTTTCACTGAGATTAAGATCTAAGAAGACAGTGGGTATGATAGAGACTATAACAAGAAAAGTACAGGATGTCATAAGAACAAATAAAACTAGTCTACAATTCAGAAAGACTCTCCTGAGGAAGAGATATTTAAACTGAGATATACAGAATAAAATAGGAATTAGAGATTAGCCAAAGAAAATGGGGATGGAGAAGGAAATGGTGTTCTAAGTAGACAAAGCTGTAAAAAAAATAAAAAAGAGGCCCAGCTGGTATGGGTCAGTGGTTGAGCATCGACCTATGAACCAGGAGGGCATGGTTAGATTCCCAGTCCGGGCACATGCCCGGGTTGTAGGTTTGGTCCCCAGTGTGGGGCATGCAGGAGACAACCGATCAATGATTCTCTCTCATCACTAATATTTATATCTCTCTCCCACTCCCTTCCTCTCTCAAATCAATAAAAATTATTTTTTTAAGATAAAATCACTGAGACAAAGAATAGGTGGCAGAAATGAGGCTAGAGATCCTTATAAATCAGCTTCAGGAGTTTGAAGTTCATGTAAAGAGAATGGCAAGCCACTGGAAGGTGACAAGGTGGTAAGAAAGGGGACATGATGTGTAGCGTGGAGAGTGACTAAAGAATGGCGGTGATAACTAGTGGTAGAGGCCTAGAGATAACTATTGTTTGAACTATGGTGGTGACATGAAGATGCATAGACAAAGAGAAGTGGCTATTTTAAGATGTTTAGACTATATTACCAAGTCGCTATATATCACCAAGGAGCAACAAGAACTCAGAAATGACTCCTAGGTTTTTAGGTTAGGCAGCTGTGTAGATGATTATGCAGTGGTACCAAAACATAAATTTGTGTACTCATACACACACACATATACACATACATATATACATACATGCACATACAAGATAACAGAAATGAAGCAGGCTTGATAGAGAGATATTGAGTTTTTGCTGTGGACATATTGTGTTTGAGTTGCTTATAGACACTGAAAGAATCTAATTCAATAAAGTTTGATATGAAGGACAGAAGATCAAACTGAGCTTTCTAGCAACTACAGATATTCCTGTTGTTATGCAACACCTGGTTTTAAGTCCCATTTTACCCAGACTGATTTAAAAGGCAAACTGTAAAATTTCAGGAATTTGAAGTTATGAATTATGTTTGGGACAGCACAGTGGTATGGTGTAGATATGAATACAACAATATAAAAATGTAATGTAGGGGTCACTAGCAGATGCTCTTCCCTTTTTAAAAAATCTTTTTTAAATGTTTATTTATTGATTGATTTTAGAGAAAGGACAGAAAAGAGAGAGAGAATCATTGATGTGCCCTGTCCAGAAATCAAACCCAAAACTTTGGTGTATTGGGATGACACTCTAACCAACTGAACCACCAGCCAAGGCAAGGCTTTTCCTGTTTTTTAAAAATTTATCTTTTTATTGACTTTTAGAGAGAGAGGGAGAAAGAGAAATATCAACGTGAAAGGGAGACATTGATCAGCTGCCTCCTGCACACCCTGTCCTGGAATCAAACCAGCAACATTTCAGTGCACAGAATGGCGCCACACAGCCAGGGTGAGGCTTTTTCCTTTAAATCTTCAGCTATTGTTGTGGTCATCGAATTCTCATTGTGTCAGCTCCTGTATTTACTAATAGTACAGACAAAACTTCCAATTTATGCAAAGGTTAGATGGAGACTGTTAAAAAAAATTAAAAAGAAAGTACAGAGATCCTGTTCTAACATCTGTGGCTAGTTATATTTAATATATTTAAAGCTCATTCCAATACTACTCATGCAAAAATGAGAATAACTTATGATGCTTTTATAAAACCAATAAATATGTACTATGAAATGCTATACTATTTTTAAAAGTAGAAAAAACAGCATAGCAGCTAAAGATAATTTTAGACCTGGGCTTAGAAATAATGTAATTTACTAGAAAAAATACATTTGTATTTAAGATCTTAGAAAAGTTACCTATAGCTATTTAGCTTCTAGAACATTCAACTTGTACAAGAATTTCCAGGACAGACCAATTTCCAGCACTAGAAGGGAAGCATATATAGAAAACAAATAAGACCATGCAATATGATTTCACAAAATATGGGGAAAATGAGAAGAGCAGAGATATCAGGACCAAGTGCCAAGAAACACCAACATCAATATGACAAGTAGAAAAGAGTACTGGGCCACAAAAAGAGCAGAAAATCAATAATGTGAAACGCTACTGAAAATCAAACAAGATAAGGTCCAAAGAGTGGCCACTGATTTCTTCATCATGTCCATGGGTGGGGAACACCTGGCCCATGGAAGTCATTTGGTCTGGCCCTGCCAAGGCATGAGTGGTGAGTTAATTAAATGTTCGACCAAATATAGCAGGCTAATTTTTAAGTTGATAATGTTGCATGGCCCAAGAACGATATTATAAATATCCAAATGGCCCTCGGCAGAAAAAAGATTCCCCACCCCTGATGTAGGCCATAGAAAGGACTACAATGTAATGTATTATGTAAACTGGGACTCTTTTGAGACTAAAAGAGATTGTATTAATAACTATATCAGAACAACGGGCATAATTTGGGGCTGTTTGGGGAACATGGGACATGTGGCCACTGGAGTCGTTGACAATTTTAGAAAGAACAACAGAATGATGGAAGCAGACACTAGATTGAGGTGAGTTATTGAGTGATTAGAGATAACAAAACAAATTCAAAAACTCTCTCTGGAAAGTTGCCTATGGGGAAAAAATGGGAGGCAGACACATATACAAATATTCTTCTTCCCAAATATTCTTCTTTGTAGACCAAATAAAACCATATAATGTAAGCACAGCAGAATCATTTAGTCAACAAAATAGACTCCAGATGCTTTTCAAAAGAGCAGATACTTCTAAATTTAAAAAGTTTTCTTGTTTATAAATTAAAAATACTATTTTTTAAAAGGCCTTTTCAAAAATAAAAGAAAGAGCAATATGTATAGTAGTTAAATCTCTAAGAAATAAAAGGTCGTCTTACATGAAGATAGAAAAACTATAACACAAAGTGGATTTTAAATTTTCCTTTAAAGAAGTGAAGAGGTATATTGCTTAATGTATAAAATGTATTATTCTCCCACTATACCTACAATGGGAAAACAGTCCCACAGTGGGCAAAAGTATGAGTTTTGAAGTGAAACACACAGCTGTACATCTTTACAGCTGTAATACTATAAACTACTGATTTAACTCCCTAAGCCATAATTGCCTCATCTATAAAATGGAGAAAGCAATATCTATAATACATATAAAGTACTGAGAAAAGAGCATAGCATACAATGACTGCTCAAAAGATAGTAGCTATCATAATTATTAGCTAGCTATTATTACACATAAAGCATGTGCCCTGCACTGAGCATATATCAATTTTCAGGCTATGGTATCACATCTGAAAACAGACAATAGGAGCTGATATGCAGAAGGAGGCAACACTGGAACAAAGCAAGTCTCAACTACAGAAAATGGGAAGGTCCTAAGATTTAATCTGAAGTTCTGGTTGTTGTTATTTTAAAGGTTAACTCCAGGTGCCAACAAGAGAAGACACAGTCTTATCAATGTTGACCTGGCTGTGTCATGGTGAAGAACAAAGATTCTGAATCAGAGGATATGAATTCTGAATCTTGGCTCTGTCATTTACTAGCTGTATACTCTATGGCAAATGAACTAACTTCACTACGCCTCAATTTACTCATCTTTAAAGTGGGGATAGTAACAATGTCAATCTCAGAGAGTTGTTCAGAAGTTTAATTAAAACAACATACAGCCGAAACCGGTTTGGCTCAGTGGATAGAGCGTCGGCCTGCGGACTGAGAGGTCCCGGGTTCGATTCCGGTCAAGGGCATGTACCTGGGTTGCGGGCACATCCCCAGTAGGAGATGTGCAAGAGGCAGCTGATCGATGTTTCTCTCTCATCGATGTTTCTAATTCTCTCTATCTCTCTCCCTTCCTCTCTGTGAAAAATCAATAAAATATATTTTTAAAAAAATAAATAAATAAATTAAATAAAACAACATACAAATAGTATTCACACAGTGCCTAATACATAGCAAACATTCACATAATATACATTATTACAGGGAGGTAAAGTCAAGATGAAAGACTCAGAGAAATGAGAATGTGATAAGGTCCTAGAAATATACGGCAATTTGAGGAGTATCAACCATATAGTGGGCACAAAATAAGAAAATCAAAGATCTCACTATGGCAGCACAGAAAAGTCAAGATTTATTCAACTTTTACATTATAAAAAGTATAGGTATAGTAAAATGTCTGATAGTAAAAAATTTATGATAAAAAAAAGGAACATATCTAATTAGGAAATGTTTAAATTATAGTAAAGCCATATGATATTAATACCTGCAACCATTAAAACACATATTCTTGACATGTACACTATAGTAACATATTTTTAAGTATGTATGTATATATACATATAAATATATTATCATCATAAAAATGGCAGAAAATATCCCAAAATGTTATCAAGTTATTTGTGAATAACAAAACTACAGGTGATTTTAGGAGGCCAATGCCTTATCCATTAGGTGACTGGGACTTCTAAACTACAGGTGATTTTAAAGTTTTGTTTTAAATGTTACTGAAAATTTTCCAAAAATTTCTTTTACAAATATGTACTATTTTATAATATTTTGAAAGCTATTTTTAAACACACAAGGAGGTTTTAAGAGTAGGTATACACAGTATACTAATAAAACTAGTGAAAATAATTCTGAGTTTACCTTGTAGCTCACTTTTAATAAGGCAACTTTCCATCATGTATAATAGCACAGTGACCATAATATCCAGCAGCTGACATTCTTCTGTTACCTGTCTTGCCAGCTCCTCATTGCTGAACAACTGAACACTAATATGAACAATTCTGTTAGACATCGTGTCTGATTCATGACTTTTCTTCAGTGTTTTCATAATGAAAGCATAATGCTGAACAAAAGTTTTTGTAAAAGCAACCTGTAAATGTTTTAAATAGAAAAAAAAACACATTAGTTTAACTTTGACTTTTATTACACATTTTCCAATATATTACATTAACCATATTAAACTATTATTAGTTTGTGATGATGTCCAAGGTCATTGAAAAACTAATTTCAATGATGACAGTAGTCTTAAGTCATATTTCCCCATTTTTTGAAACATAAGCAAAATATTTTGATGGTTAAAAAAATTTAATAGGCATTTTAAATTATTAAAATTTTAAAGCAACTACAAATACCATAGTTTAAAATACAAATTCTCACTATGCTCATAAATAAATCAATTTATTGTCAAAATATTTCTCTTTGTTCTGTGCTACCTACTTTAAAAACAAAATCTAAAGTCTTAGCTAAAAACTATCACAGGTTTCATATAACTTAACAAGTGAGTCAATGTGATTACTCCAAAAGAAATATCTTCTCCTATTTGTTCAGAAAGACCACTTAGCTGACTAAATATTCTTTCTGTGTAACATGTACATTTATTTCCTCTGTTATTTTCCTAAGCAGTTATAACGTCACCAAACAATGGCATTATTAAAGTGTTACTCCTAAAGAGGCCTTATTTCCTAAGCCATAAAAAGAACTACAGCATGATTCACTTTCTTTTTCATACACTAGGCTATGTCACTTTGCAATAACTATACAGTGGTAACAGGTGAGTCCAGACACTCTGGGACTAGAGACTTCATCTACCTACATGAGTACATTAGTCAATAACTGTTCTGTATTTAACTTTATGGCAGGCAGCTACTAATTCCATGTTTTCCCATACCTAACCCCACAATCTAAATTCAATTGCCCCCATTACACATACTCATAGCATCTGTACCTCTCCTTCGAAGAATTTGTAACAACATATTTATTTGAGCAATTGTTTTTATGTTTGTCACCCAGCATTCCTTTGGATCAAGTTCCATGCAGAAAGGCAACCCTTAGGAATTCTGTTTAACAGTGGTGCTTTGCCACAGATCTTTGATACTATGCTTCTTCTGCAGACCCTATGTTCTTTCACAGTGTTATATCAGTCCTCAGAGCTACAACACAATAAGCCACAGCTGAGAAATATATTTTTAAAATTTAGTAGAGAAAGGGCAAAGAATAGGGAGCAAAGTTCAGAAAGGAAGGGGGGGGGAATGTATATACCTTATACTCTTGATCTGGAAGCATATTGAGTAAGAAAGTTACCATCTTCTGGGGGAATTCATATTTTATAGTCCAAAACAATAGTTCTTCTAGGAAACTTTTATGTTTCAAAACATCCATTATGGATTGATCTGTGTTAAAAAAAAAATTTATCGTCTAATGATTTAAGTTTCTCATTTCATTTAAACCTTACTATCATTAATAACCCATCAACCCCAAACACCTAAATGTATCTAAACATTAAGGATACCTTTTCAATAATTCAATGATAATATTTACAATATCAAGCTAGATTTCTATAATCTCCACAGTTTATAAATAATAAGATACTAACCCCTATGTTTTAAGATAAAGCAGTTACTTAAAAAATAATTACTTATCCTTAAGCATAAGCCATTTACCTAAAATTTCTACTAAGATTAATCTTACAAGAACAATATTCACGATACCTAATTTAAAACAGTAATAATTATCAATGGAACAAAATAGAGAGCCCAGCTATAAAACCATATGCATATGAACAGATACCTTTCAACAAAGGAGACAGAAACATACAATGGAGTAAAGATAATCTCTTCAATAAATGGTGCTGGGAAAATTGGAAAACCAAATGCAAATGAATGAAACTGGATTACAGTTTGTCCCCATGTACAAAAATTAGTTCAAAATGGACCAAAGACCTAAATATAAGATCTGAAAAATAAGTTACATAGAAGAAAACATAGGTATAAAACTTAATGGACCTTAGTAGTAGAGAATACTTTATGAACTTAACTCCAAAGGCAAGGAAAGTAAAGGCAAAAATAAATGAAAGGGACGACTAGTATATCAAACTATAAAGCTTCTGCACAGCAAAAGAAACTGACAAAATAAAGAGGCAGCAAACCAGATGGGAGATACTTGCAAACAGTAGTTCCGACAAAGGTTTAATTTCTAATATATATAAAAAACTCATAAAATTCAACACCAAGCAAACAAACAACCCAATCAAAAAGTGGGCAGAGGGCCTGGTCAACGTGGCTCATTGATAGAGCATCAACCTATGAACCAGGAGGTCACGGTTTGATTCCCGTTCAGGGCACATGCCCGGGTTGCAGGCTCGATCCCCAGTGTGGGGCATGTAGGAGGCAGCCAATCAATGATTCTCTCTCATCATTGATGTTCTCTCTCCTTCTCCCTTCCCCTTCCCCCTCTTCCTCCCTGAAATCAATATATATACGTGTGTGTGTGTGTGTGTGTGTGTGTGTGTGTGTTTTTGTTGTTTTTGTTTTGTTTTTTCTTAAGTGAACAGAGGACCTGAAAATACACCTCTCCCAAGAAGGCATACAGCCGAAACCGGTTTGGCTCAGTGGATAGAGCGTCGGCCTGCGGACTGAAAGGTCCCAGGTTCGATTCCGGTCAAGGGCATGTACCTGGGTTGCGGGCACATCCCCAGTGGGAGATGTGCAGGAGGCATCTGGTCGATGTTTCTCTCTCATCGATGTTTCTAACTCTCTATCTCTCTCCCTTCCTCGCTGTAAAAAATCAATAAAATATATGAAAAAAAAAAAAGAAGGCATATAAACAGCCAACAGATATATGAAAAGATGTTCAACCTCACTGCCAATTAGGGAAATGCAAATCAAAACTACAATGAGATACCACCTCACACCTGTTAGAGTGGCCATTATCACCAAGACAAACAATAACAAGTGTTGGAGAGGTTGTGGAAAAAGGGAATCCTCATTCACTGCTGGTGGGAATGGTACAACCACTATGGAAAGCAGTCTGGTGATTCCTCAAAAAATTAAGAATAGAGCTACCATACGATCCAGCAATCCCTCTTCTGGGTATATACCCGAAAAACTCAAAATCATGTATTCACAAAGATATATGCACCTCTATGTTCATTGTAGCATTATTTACAGTGGCCATGACATGGAAACAACCAAAGTGTCCTGCCATAGAGGACTGGATAAAGATGTGGTACATATACACAATGGAATACTACTCAGCCATAAGAAAGGATGAAATAGCACCATTTGCAACAACATGGATGGACCCTGAGAACATTATACTAAGTGAAATAAGTCAGTCAGAAAAAGCTAAGAACTCTATGATTTCACTTATATGTGAGGTACAAAAATGAAACTTATGAACACAAACAGCAGTGCAGTGATTGCCAGAGGGAAGAGGGTGGGGGAAGCATGGGTCCTAATATATGGTGACAGGAGAAGATTTGACTTTGGATGGTGGGCACATGGTGCAATATACAGATATTGTAACATAGAAACCCACACCTGAAACCTCTATGTACGTTCATGTTGACCAACGTCACCCCAATAAATTTAAATTAATTAACTAATTAACTAATTAGATGATAATAATGGTTTTAAGCTAAAAACATACTATTAAGGACATAAAGTCCAAATCTACATTTTTTTAATTTGTAAAAAAAGAGGGGAAATCTTTACAAATTCAATAATTTATTTCTCAAAATTATCCTTCATAAAAGAAATACTAATTTCACCAGAAAGAATAATTACTAATGCACTGCTTACCATAGTATGCAGAAGCATTTACTTTTTTCTAGTAAAAATATACCAGGCAAAGTATAAAGAGTGCTAAATATGCTTACTTGCACTAGACTCAAGAGTTCCTCTTCATGTATACAATGCCCCTTCCTAATAAAAGTATTCAAAGGGGGATAAAATTTCTACTGGAAAGCCTATTTCTAAAGCCAACTGCCACTCCTTAAAGGCTAAGGCTGTCTCTTGCTAAACTGAATCCTTGCCATACTTAGTCAACAGCAACATCTCAACCAAATATGAGGAACGAAATATGTTTAATACTTTAGCTACCTCTTTCACTGTCTCCAATTTTCCCCCTAAAAATGAACTAATTCTGACTATTAATCTCTGTTGGAGCAAATGATCTTGGGCTACTGTTCTGAATCATCATCTCTATATAAGGACATCAAAAGGATATAGCAAATATCAACTGTGAGCAGACTAGTTCAGTGATGGTGCTTAAGCAGGAACTGGAACTAGATTGAGAGATTTTTTAAAAAACAGTATCACATGCACCAAAATATGCAGGTACAGCCATAACTACATTACAGTTCAAGTTGTCTTGCAGGATAACCTTGTAGAGTTTTTTCAATTAACCCTACCCAATTTCACAGTTCTTCTATTGTTGAGCAATGTGTTCACACCACATCTCGCTCAGGTAATGAGTGTCTACTCCAACTCAGATGTATCTCAAGGACTCAGGTAAAAACATGGACAACTCAAGTAAGTCAAAGGGCCAGGTAGCCATATGGGTTTCTATTTTTTCAGGCATCACAGCTTCTCTGCTGAGCCAAGGAGAAGGGACACATGTTTGTAGGAGTATGTTTGCATCCTGGACTGCAGACCAAATTTCATGCCCTTTGCTAGTAGCCCACAAGTTAAATGCAGCAGCCTATGTAACTAAGAACACTTACAAAACAAGCCTCAACTAAAACTACCCGCTTGCTCCACCTTTCCAAGCAGTTCCAAATATTCTACAAGATATACTTAATCAGCACCAGAAATAAGAAGCTTGTTTTCATCAAAATATTATTTTAACCTCTGGAGACTCTTGGAGACCATGTTAACCCAGACAATAGACCAGTGGTTCCCAAACTTATTTGGCCTACGGCCCCCTTTCCAGAAAAAATATTACTCAGCCCCTGGAAATTAATTTTTTTTTAATTTTAATAGCAGTTACTCATCGCCCCCAAATGCACCTGTAGCCATCACCGGCCCCCGGGATCGCTGCAGCGCCCACCGGGGGGCGGTAGCGCCCACTTTGGGAATCACTGCAATAGACCATGTTCAACAAAAATCCCAAGTGCAGGCTGCCAACTAGAAACAAGTACTCAATTGCCCAGCCAGTTTTGCTCAGTAGTTGAACATCACCCCATGCACCCAGACGTCACTAGTTTGAGTCCCAGTCAGGGCACATTCATTTATTCACATTCTCTCTTTCACCATCTCTACCTTGTCATTTTTCACTTTAAAATGCATACACCAAATTATAAAAAGATGTAATCCAAACTAAAACTATACACCTAAAACACTGGCTCCAAATCAAAGAATTAATGAAACGACGTATATTTTTCTGGCTCAAAAAGATAATAAACATTTTATTTTAAAAAACATATAACAAAATCCCAATAGTAAGGTTTTTACTTGCTTTTGAGGTCCCCCACAATCACCCCCTAAAGACAGTTTCTCCATTATTCGACAAATATAATAACATAACTCTCTTTTCAAACACACCTTGGATGTCAATACGAATAGCCAATCAAGTGTTCTTAGAGATTAAGCATTTAGAAACTTTTTATACAAGTTAAAAATAAAATATAAATACCTTTGGTGCTACTGCTTAGTTTGACCCTTTTTCTCTTGCCCAGACCTTGACTTCCATCCTGATCCTCCTGGAGGAAAACAGAATTAGCATTATAATAATGCTATTCATGAATTTATATATTTTACATAAATATATGTATGTTTATAAATGATTAAATATAATATAGTCATGCTTACATATTATTAATCAACACATTTTACTTTTCTGTATTTGCTCTAGTATCTTTTAATGCTGTTAATTTTGATTAAATTATATAATGAAAATCCTTAGTATTAAAATATAAGAGCTCTTAAACTTAATCTGTTCTTCTAATGCAAAATGCCAAAATAAAAATTTTCCTAACCTTATAAACATCATTTCATACGAACAAAGAAGCTGAAGGGGGAGTCGAGCAGACTGGCATAGGAAGAAAGGAGAGAAGGAGCAGAGGACTAAAACAATCAATAAAGAAAAATGCTTTGAAGAGTCTAAGACAAAGAAAAGTCATAATCTGCACCTGGGGAAATCATTTGGATGCCCAGGAAAACATCTTGGAGTGGTTTGAGGCAGTCTCAAGGGATGGTACACTGCACCACAGCAACAGAGTGGGAAGCTAGGGAGCTGAGACAACACAAAGGGAGGAGGAACAGAGGAAGCAGCCTGCCGATGGTGAAACCAAGGTGTGGCTAGAGGTGTGCATCTTAGGGAAGGAGCCCTGGGCACAGGCGCACATTTCTAATTTTCTTTAAATGTTGCTGAAAAGGCTCTTGCTTTCTTTATAGCTGAATTCAGGAGTTCTTCCCCTCCAGCTAAATGTTATGATTCCACTCCATTTTCCCAGCTTTCCTAAACTAGGAAATTGCATATGAATTCAAAACTTCTATGCTATACTATCATTTTCCTATTTTCCAAACATATATGAGCCAACTGGTATTATAAGGACATGAATGGTAGCATTTTGGCATATAGTCTGCTAACAATGGAGTTGGTGGCATGTTAGAATGTAATACAAATTCCCAGATTTCTCAAGTAGAGCCCATCAAATCTTGAAAGCAGAAAAGTAGTCTCGGATTCATGCTGCTGTTCTATCTACTATTATAGCTTCCTTGGCCTACACACCATAGTCTTAATTTCTGGTTTCTATCAAGTCCAGCATCAGTCCTCAGGGCCAGTCTGGGGTTTTCCAGAGCTACATTCCACATTTACTGAGCACTTCAATATGCCCTCCCTATTAATCCCCACGCTTGCCAAGGCCTCCATACTAATCTACCAGGCAGCAGGACTGACAAACTACTACTCCTCCTCTGCCACCCTCACCCTTGCCATTGGAGAAACTCAACCAGAATAAAACTTGGAGCCTTAAAAGACAGAAAACAGACACAAGAATGTAAAATCAGCCCTGGCCAGTGTGGCTCCGTTGGTTGGGTGTCATTCTGTGCACCCAATGGTTGCTGGTTCGATTCCCAGTCAGGGCACACGCTCGGGTTATGGGCTTAATCCCCAGTGGGGGACGTGCAGGAGGCAGCTGATCAGTGTTTCACTCTCACATCAATATTTCTCTCTCCCTCTCCTTTTCTCTCTCTCTCTCTCTAAAAATCATTTTTTTAAATCTTAAAAAAAATAAAAGAATGTTAAATCATGCCACAGGACCCAGGGGATTCCAAAGTTTGAGATTTTAGCTAATAGCCATTTATTCTGAAACTGTTCTCCCAGCCCTGAGTAAAAAGACAAATTTGGAAAATCTATGTTATATCCCAGGTTAGGATTGCTTAATTATTTCTCTTTTTTTAAAATATATTTTTATTGATTTCAGAGAGGAAGAGAGAGGGAGAGAGATAGAAACATCAATGATGAGAGAGAATCATTGATCAGCTGCTTCCTGCACGCTCCCTATTGGACATCAAGCTTGCAACCTGGGCATGTGCCCTGCCCGAGAATTGAACCATGACCTCCTGGTTCATAGGTTAACACTCAACCACTGAGTCACGCCGCTGGGTGGCTTCATTATTTCAAATATAAACTTCCTATGAAAAGAATATCCTTGATCAACCAGTGGTCTTGGAAATACAAAGTTTTATAAATTTCCAAGTCTTATAGTCTAAAAGACAAGTAAAATTAGTCGGACAAAGGAGGAGAACATCATTCCAAAAAGATAAGACAGCATAAGCAAAGGTGCAATAACAAAAGTCCATAAACATAGACCAGTGAGGTGGGCTGGACATCATAATATATATCAGCCAAAGCAAGGAAAGACGATTATCTCCACCTAAACTGGTGGGAAAATGGGTACTCTTATACACTGTTGGTAACATTATACAACAGTACAATTTTCCTGAATGGCAATATACTTGTCATAAGTCTTTAAAGTGTATTTATCATTGGAACAGAAATTCCAGTTCTGGAAATTTATCCTAGAGAAATAGGAACAAGTAAATAGAAACTATATGTATAAGTATTCATCACATTTTATTTATAACAGGGGAAAAAAAGAATCTTTGGCTTCCATCAACAGGGTACACAGTAAATAAATTATAGCACACTTTGTACCCTTTGAAGAAAAACAATGCTAGAGTTCTAAATTCACTGTGACCAGAGAGATGTTCAAAAGCTATTAAAAATGAGAAAAGGATCTCATATGTAGAATAGCATATGGAATATAAAACCATTTAAGTATTGGTAATATATATATGTGTGTGTGTGTGTATATATATATATGATCTATCTATATAAAAGCCTAAGCAGCCAGAACACCAGAATGACTGAAACTACTGGTCACTATGATGCACACTGACCACCAGGTGGCAGATGCTCAACGCAAGAGCTGCCCCCTGGTGGTCAGTGAGCTCCCACAGCCAACCTCCCGTGGCCGGCCAACCTCCCGTGGTCCCTCCCCCCATCCGGCAGGCCCTGGCCGGCAGCTAGCAGCTGGAAGGAAGGCCCCGGCTGGCAGCCAGAAAGCCCCAATAATCCCTGATCACCAGCCAGGCCTAGGGACCCCACACATGCACGAATTTCATGTACCAGGCCTCTAGTACACAAATAAAATCTGTTAAAGCATACTTCTTGTGACAGATGTTCAAAAAGACAGTTAGTGAAAAAGGCAGAATACTGAATAGCACGTACAGCATGAAACCCTTAAAATATATTATATATGGGGTGGGTTAAAAGTGAGTTCACAGTTGTTGGTATGAAAATAATGCAATAATTAATAAATAATAAGAATAAACTGTTTTGTGTACTCACAACTGTAAGCCTGCTTTGCCCACCCCAGTATAAAAATGTTAGAATACAGATGTTTATAGTAAGACACCTCAAAGTGATAAGAATAATAGGTAATTTTATTATATTTTTGTTAATGTCTATTTTCTCTTTACTCAATAATGAATATGGATTGCAGCTCTAAGTTAATTTTTTAATAGTCAATTAATTTTTAGAGAGAGAAAGAGTGAGGGAGAAAGAGATAGAAACACCAGTGTGAGAGCACATCAATCAGGTGCCTCCTGCATGCTCCCCAACAGGGGATCAAGCCCACAAGCCAGGTACATGCCCTTGACTAGGAATTGAACCAGCAACTTCCTGGTGCACAGAACAACACCCAACCAACTGAGTCACACTAGTATTTTAAATACTAGTTCAGATTTCCAATCCTAATTGCAATAATCTGCATAAGATAATGGGCTACTGTGCTATCTATTACAACTCCATCACTAACTAGAAAAAATTCACTAGCCTGAGTAAATCAGTTAATTCTGTGGAATTCAGCTTCCTCTTCCATAAATAGGTTAAGCAAGATAGACTTTAAGGTCACTTGTAGCTTTAACATTTTTAATGTTTATAACCTTCAAATTGTCTCCTCCTAATTCTCATTTTTGCTTTGTTATATTACAAGATTTTTCTATTTCTAACTCAAGATATAAAAGTCAGAAAGCAAAGACTTTGTAGTATATAAATCAATAAAACAAATGAATGTTTTTGTATAAAAATTATGATCACAATCTTAAAACAGAAAATTGCCTGACTTTATCGCTAAAACTCTTCTAAGATTGCCCTGGGTAGTGATCTTATCTCTATACTTTTCCATACTTTTCACTTCAAATATTTGTGTGCGACTTTTATAATCAGAAAGAAATACAATCCATAAAAATTCCAAATATACATACCCTATAGCCTAGCAATTCCATAACTTAGAAAACTATATGCACATCTGCACAAAAATAAATGTAAACATTATCTTCAAATAAAAAAAACTGAATATTAAGAAAATGATTGGATAAACTGCACAATACTATACAGCAGTAATAAAGAGTATTGGCAATGAGGGATTAACACAATACATTATGGAGGAAATAACAGGACACAAAATAGTGTAACCTTTTTTATTTATTCACACACACACACACACTACATATTTCTGTAAGCACATAGTTATTTAACTACATAGAAAATGGTCTGTCAAGGACAGCCAAACTATTAACTGTAACCCAGAGGGGATTTTTATTTTATCTGAATTGTCTGGCAAAGCAACTACCATGTATTCATTTGTGCATTATTCAATTTTTAATTTAATTTTTAAATATAAATTTCATTACTTTTAAACCATGCTTTAGTAAACCAATTCCTCTGAAAAGATGACCCATAAGAGTTCAAAAATTCTAATACTTGAACCCCTTCTACACATAAAGGACTAGGACAGAAAGCATTTATCAAGTTCCTAATTGATGTTGGTCCATGATAGGTACTTTACATATGTTATCCCATTTAATCCTAACATGAGAATTATCATCATTTTCTTCATGAGGAAATTGATGTTCAGAACTTAAATAGCCGAATCCGGTTTGGCTCAATGGATAGAGCGTCAGCCTACGGACTGAAAGGTCCCAGGTTCGATTCCGGTCAAGGGCATGTACCTGGGTTGCGGGCACATCCCCAGTGGGGGATGTGCAAGAGGCAGCTGATCAATGTTTCTAACTCTCTATCTCTCTCCCTTCCTCTCTGTAAAAAATCAATAAAATATATTTTAAAAAAAAGAACTTAAATAACCTGGCAAAAGCATAGTGATATTATAAGACAAGATTAAGCTCAGGTCTGCCTAACTCTAAAGCTCAAGTATCTCTTAAAGAAAAACTAAAGTAGATGTTCCTCAATCTACCTCCAACTAAACAACTCTACCTCAAATTCTTAAGCTTTCAAATGTCCAAATGACCTATTTTTAGCTCAATTAGAAAACATAATAAGCTATAAAAAGTACTCTGAAATATACTAGAAGTTTGATTATAAAATGTGATTTAGGGATCAAATGTGATTTAGGGATTAAACTACTTGTAAATATATGTATAAATTAAATATACATTACATGCTCTAAAAGTAAATCTCAGCTATCACAAAAATACTCCATTATGAGGATAGCTGTTGAAATGAAGTATTCTAAAGTTATCACCATCAAAAAATATTTACTATGATATTCACATTGAGCCATAATCATAATTAAGGAGCAAATGATTATATATATCACAGAAGTTAAAGAATCTAAGAGGAATGAAGAAAGACGAAAAGACCTAAAGAACGACAGATGAGAAGTAATGGTGAACAAAAACCACATTTCAAATCCTCTGATATTCCCCTAGGAATTACTTCCAGAAGAGATTTAAAAGCCTCCTTTACCCATGCACACAAAAAGATCTCCTTTTAGCATTCTATCATAAAATATGGCATTGTTGTGATGCAATTATGTACTATTAAAGTCTCCACTGGCGATTTAAAAGCTAATCTGGAGAGCTTAGGCCAAGACAAAAGCAAATGTTACTTCTTTCCTAGACACAGGAGAAATATCTGTGTTGAAGATCAGCTTTTCACGTGCCCAGAAATCAAATCCAATTCATGTAAATAAAGTAGAATTGTTAGCAAGGCTGTTGGATGCATAATGCTAGGTATGCTAAAATAATATGAAGATTTTAATCAACCATATAAATACAAACATGAAATTTATAGATTTTTCAAGATTATATCAAGATATTTAGATTATTGTAATAAAGTGCTATGTAACATCAGTAAACCATTTCATTATGTAATAGTTTTCTAAAGTTTCTACTGGCAATAGATACAAGTAGAAACTCCTTTCCTATCTGCCTGGCTTTAGTCAAGGAAGTGCGCATGCACCCATTCATATTCAACTATGTATTCTCAGATCTTGCCTTTTGAGAAGCCATTCCACTTCACCACAACAGTAGTGTTATAAAGGACTTACTAGAAATATTTATTATATTAATAAGCACTAAAAAAAATTGAAATTTCAAATTGACAGTCTATTTCCCTGTACATTGCTTTTTTTAAATAATCCTTGACATATTAGGTGTAACTTAGTTATGTGATTAGAAAAGCAATTACATTTCATATTCTTTTAATAAGTTACTCTGCACTTCACTAAATTTCTTAAGACAATTTCATTGTACTTATAACAGCAATTTGGATAAATTTTGGTATACCTTCCTAGGAGAAATCTCTATCTCTATCTCCCACTTCTAAACTATTAAAAGAGAAATTAATTATAAACAAATAAAAATCTAGTTGTAGTAGTACTTGTTCTGTCACTAAGTAATTATATGATCGTGGCTAAGTTATTCCATTCTGAGTATCGGTGTCCTTGTCTACAAAATTAAGAATTTAAACTAGATAATATCCATAAATCTGTAGTTTTAAAACTTTTTAAATTCTATTTTTAAAAAGTTTTAAATTGTAAATCTCACCTCATCTGAAGAATCTAGTTGTCCCAATGTCCCTGTTGCACCTGCAAAACCTTTGAAAAGGAAAAAAAAGTTGCCCTTCATAGTTGTTACATAATGCTTTACTTGCTACATCACAATATCAAAAGCTAAGTTTTGTTATATTAAGACATCTCATTCTAACAGTTATCTTGGCAAAGTTCAACATTTATCTTTAATAAATTTGGATCTAATACTTTATATACTTTATACTTTCAATAGGAAATCCCAGTGAAAACCCAAATATAATCATTACAAATGGTGTTTCAAAAGTATCTCTATTTTTTCCCCTTTTTATTGAATTTATTTGGGTGACACTGGTTAACAAAATTATACAGGTTGCAGGTACACAATTCTACAACCCATCATCTGTACACTGTATTGTATGTTCATCATCCCAAGTCAAGTCTTCATCCATCACCATTTATCATCCCCCTTCTCCACACAACTCCCTCCCCTCTAGCAATCACCACACTGTTGCCCCTGTCCAGAAGTTTTTTCCCTGGTTTTTTTCCTTTTTGCTCAATTCCTCCACACCTCCAAAACCTTACCCTCAACCTTTTTAGTTTTAAACTATGGTTTACTAAAATTCTGGGCTACTCTTAAATATAACAACTGCTGCATTTTTTTACTAGTTAGAAACAGAACCTTAATAAACTAAACAAATTCCATTTAAGAAAAATGCTTTCAGCCCTGACCGGTTTGGCTCAGTAGATAGAGCGTCGGCCTGCAGACTGAAGGGTCCCAGGTTCAATTCCGGTTAAGGGCATATACCTTGGTTGCAGGCACATCCCCAGTAGGGAGTGTGCAGGAAGCAGCTGAATCGATGTTTCTCTCTCATCGATGTTTCTAACTCTCTATCCCTCTCCTTCTCCCTTCCTCTCTGTAAAAAATCAATAAAATATATATTTTTTAAAAAACATATTAAAAAAAAGAAAAATGCTTTCTCTTCTTTGGCTAATCTATTCACTTTTGCTTCTAAATCTTTAAACTTTTATTACTTTCCTTACAAAAAAGGATACATTATTTAAATTTCTCCAATAATGAAAAAGTTTGAAGGGGGTTATTTTGTTTGTTTTAATACAGAAAAGTTATCATTATCCAAATTACATATTTAGACAAACCTTGAACTGCCAGAGTGCTAGTGCCAGCAGATGGCTCCTGTATACCATATACAAGTTTATCCTCAGGATAGGTAAGTCCAGAGCTCTTCAAAGCTATAAGGTACTTTTCGTGACTTTTCTTTGCACAAGTATTTTCTCCAAGACCTAATATTTAAAACAAATTTAAAATAGGATTAAAATATTCCATTTGAAATATAAGTACAGTCAATTCAGTCACTAATATATATATTATATATCTATAAATAGGTGAATATGCTATTGAAGGGAGAACCCTAGCGTGAATTACATAAAATAATTTCACACCTTTTTTACTCATGTTTGGCATTAACAATCCCAGAATGTACAGCACATTTATAACAAATAGTGAAACCTACTAAGTAACTGAACATCTAAAATATGCCAGAGATTATATATAAGGCACAGAGCAGGCAAAGATTAATAAGGCAGATTCCTGCCTTCAATGAATTAGTGTTAGAGAAAGACAATATGGTAAAAGACAATTATGTAGTAGACTTCATCATTTGGTTTGATAACCTGTGTTCTCCTAATACTGTGCAACCAACTTAGCCAAAGCAGAGTACTTAGGACAGACTTCCTGGAGAGGATAATCCCTGGGTGAAATTTTAAAATATTACAACTGAAATTACTGTTAACTCCTGTTTTATTATCATATTTAAGGTATTAAAAGTATAATTTCAACAGAAGTATCAGTTAAAACTAATTTATTCCAAAAAATACTGAAAAGTTTAGGTTCTAGAATTGAACAATCCTAAAACTTTCACTTTAGCATTTCAGCTTATTAATTATTGCCAATTTTTCTATTGTTTTGTTTTTAATATATTATGGAAGATGGAATAATAGTAAAAGAAAACACTAATATTTAAGAATTCCTTAAAAGAAAAAGTTGTTCTCTGTCTGAAAGCCAAATTACCATGGCATTTGCCACCTCTTTAGGCAGACTGTGTATCTTAAATTAAGATCTCAGCCTCTCTGATTATAAAAAGATATAAATGAGTTTCTTTAGTATTTGCTGAGTTTTATTTCCTCTCTTTACTAGCCTCAATAACTGCAATAGAACAGTTTTGTTTGTTTTTTAAATCTCTGTCCAATCTCTCTGAGCTGGTATAAAAAAAAAACCTCCAACACAGACTAAATAGATAGGAATTAAAAACAACCATAATTAGTTTGCAAAGAATAAAGAACTCATAACGTTCTATGTAAGAAATGACTAAATTTCTCCTGAGTAATAAAAAACACACATTTATCTCAATGAGATAGATTTGTAATACCTTTTAGTTAACAAAATACATTTCATCAATCTCTCACAAGCCTGAGAAAAATGAATATATAAAATTTTATATGGCCGAAACCGGTTTGGCTCAGTGGATAGAGCGTCGGCCTGCGGACTGAAGGGTCCCAGGTTCGATTCCGGTCAAGGGCATGTGCCTGGGTTGCGGGCACATCCCCAGTGGGAGATGTGCAGGAGGCAGCTGGTCGATGTTTCTCTCTCATCGATGTTTCTGACTATCTCTCTCCCTTCCTCTCTGTAAAAAATCAATAAAATATATTTAAAAAAAAAAAAAAAAAATTTTATATGGTCCATGAGCATCTACCTAATCTAAAGCTAGCCTAATATAGTAGCCTTTCTTTGTACCACTATCCCCATAACATTCATTTCATTTCAACCACACTAGCCTTTTTTATTCCTTTTTTAAAAATAAGCTCATTTTCACCCATAAATATTCCCACATGTACACTGTATTATGATATTCTTTATATTTATCCTGATTGGGGTTCTTTAAACATCTTGGATCAATAAGTCTATATTTTTCATCTAATTTGGGGAATTGTAGTCATGATTTCTCCAAATGTTTTTTAATGCCCCAATTCTCACTCGCCTGTCATGATATTTGGTCATCTTATTCTAATAGGCCCTTGAGGTTCTGTAGTGTTTTCGGTTTTCTAGGTTAAATAATCTATTGATGTGTCTTCAAATTCACTAAGTCTTTCTGCCTTGTCTATTCTACTGCTAAACCCATCCAATAAATTTTTCAATTAAATTCTTGCACTGTACAGTAATTTTCAGTTCTAGAATTTTATTATTTATGTTTCTTTGCTAAGATTCCTTATCTCTTTGATCATAATTATTTGAACAGGTTTTTCTTTAATTTCTTAAACATATTTATAATAATTTCTTTAATGTCTACCTGCTAAATCCAATATCTGGGCTATTGCAAGGTCAGTTTCTACTGACTGTTTTGATAACATATTGGACATTGTTTAAAAAAAAAAAAAGAACAGTTTATTTATTTTTTAGAGAGGGAGAGAGAGAAACATGATGTGAGAGTGCAACAGTGATGGGTTGCTGCCTCCTGCACACCCTTTATTGGGGTTGGAGCCTCAACCCGGGCCTGTGTCCTTGACCAGAAATCGAACCGGCAACTTCCTCGTACATAGGATGATGCCCAACCAACTGAGCCACACCAGCCAGGGTGATATTGAACATTCTAATGATACATTATACAAGATTCTGGATTCTATTATATTCCTATGAAGAGTATTCATTTTATTTTAGAAAACAGTTCAATTAATAGCCTGATCATGGATGTGAGGGCGATCTGGCTGCAACATCTGTCAGTCACCCCATTGATCGCCAGGGTTGATCAGGCTGATCTGGCTGGCTAGGCAGGTGTCCCCCTCCTCCCTCACCACCCATGTGTGTCCCTCCCCAAGCTGCACGCTTGGTCGAAGAGGATGACCTTCCCCTCAGAGGAGAGGACCGGTCTTCAGTCAAGAGTATAGTTGTAGCTGCGCTCCCCTGCTAGAACCTCCAGACAACTCTCAATTAATAGCCTGATCACCTAGAACTCATGAAGGTTTGGTTTAAAACTTTTGTAAAGAACAGATCTGTGGAAAGCCTAAGTTTCTCAAAATGCCCTCTGAGCTGACAGGAATCATCTCCATAATCTATCTTCCTGGCAGATACTGACAGGGCTTTAGGCTTCATTAAGGCTGACCTACACCAGCCCTTACTCTAAGTTTGGCCTTCTGTCTCAGCTAGATGCCTGAGGTATTAACAAACTCCAGTGTCTCCCAATACTACTTAACCAGTTTTATGTTGTTTATGGCATAAGGGATGGACTGACCAATAGTCAGAGAGAAAAATGTCCTCTACCTGAAATCTAGTCCTATCCCATTACCACCCAACTCCCCTCGCCCTTTGTGAAGCTTCCTCACCTTCACCATCAGTGAAATCAGTCTCTCTTTAATATACACTTGTCCTACCCTTTCATAGCATTTACTACAATTAATGATTAGTCTGAGGGTTTTATTAATGTCATCTCACTCACTAGACTATAAGCTTTATAAGGGTAGAAATAGGATTATCAGGTTTATTAATTACCTTCTCTACCCAAGCTCTAATACCTAGCTCAAAGCCAAACCACACAGTAGATACTTAAGTATTTGTTGAAGAAATAAATATATCCGACTATCTGTAAATAACAGATGGTTAACAATAAACATGGAAATTATACCAAGAAACAAGACAAACTTCAATTTGCAAAACATGCTATTTATGAACCAGCATAAAGAATGCCATTTAAAATATTTATAACAAGATTTTTAAATAATTGATATATTTATTATACTATGAATTTGAGCTAAACGAAAAGTATAAAAACTAAAATATTTTATATAACAGTATAGTATACTATGTAAAAACATACTCAACAATTCCAAGTTTTAAAACTTAAACTCTACATTATTATAAAATCCTAAAAAAACCCAAAAGTTTAGAATACCAAAGATGAAAACATAAAACGGTTGTTGTTCTTGTTAGAAGGAAGAAAGAATATAGTTATGATTATGTCACATCCAAAGTTAACACCCTAGCTGGTTTTGAGCAGTGGTTAGAGAGTCGGCCTACAGACCAAAGGGTCCTGGGTTCAATGCCGGTCAAGGGCACGTACTTAGTTGTGCAGGCTCCTCCCTAGCCTGGGCTCTGGTAAGGGCTCCTGCAGGAGGCAACCAGTCGATGTGTTTCTCTCACATCGATGTTTCTCTCTGTCTTTCCCTCTCTCTTCCACTCTTCCTAAAAATCAATGGAAAAATATCCTGAGGTAAGGATTAACAAAAAGGAAAAAAAAAAGTTAAGAGACCTAGGTTCTAGTCCCAACTTCAAAATAAATTAGTTATAAGGTCTTAAACTAGTCATTTAATTTTTAGGGGGCTTCGTTTCTTCATCCATAAAATCAGATATTCTTAATAACATCCAGCTTTATGAAAAAAATCTACATTTTACTTTTAAGTTCTAAAATACACAATTTCTAATAAGTATACAATATAAGTAAACTTTAACGTTCTTCTACTCTAACACTTTACTCACCAGAAGTCAGATCTTTGTAGTTCTGTTGGTTTGTCAAAACCTGAGTAAGAACAGACCTCATCGCTCCTCCCATTTTAGTTAGATCTTCTAAAAAGGAAATTTGAGGTTCCAAAAGCTGAAGAACTTTGCTAAGGTCTTTTTCTGATGGTACATCAGCTGCTAAAGAAAAAAATTAAACATTATAATTAACTTTCTTTAAAATATTTTGATAAGAATAATATTTTATTCATTTAAAGTTATAGTGACTTAGATGACAGTATTTTATAATCAAAAAAGTTAATATAAAAACTCTATGTGGAAATTAGGTATCCACCAAGCACCCAGCCTAGGGTAGACTTGGTCAGGTATTCAGTCATATAAGAAAAGGTTAATGAGGAAAAAGATACCATAGGTATTATTTAATTTGTGTAAGAAGCATTCAATTTGAGGGCTCTATACTTCCAGATACATAAATGTAATCATAAGATCATTTCAAAATTACATAGTATTTAAGAAAAAAGTAAAACAAGACCAAAATCAAATACATTGTACAAAATTATGTCAGTTCTAAATTTAAACCTGTGTAGCAAATAACACATCCTCTATCATATTCCAAAAATACAGACCTGTGTTAGCTGGAGGTCAAAGCAACTAACATGAAAAATAACTGTTTTCAGAAACATGAATGTTTTTACTAAAACAATTTAAAAATACCAGGCAATATATGTCTAGTAGAGATAAAGGAAGAAAAGGGAAACTTGCATAGTAACTGAAAAAGAATATTTAAGAGGAAAAGAAAACAAATGCTTTAGAGAAACTGAGGTCTAAAAGAAAGAAGTGAATAGAGAGATTTAGAGTTTAGCTATGATTGGTTAAAAGAAGAATGCATGCCCTGACTTGTTTGGCTCAGTGATTAGAGCGTCGGCCTGCGGACTGAAGGGTCCCAGGTTCGATTCTGGTCAAGGGCATGTACCTTGGTTGCGGACGCATCCCCAGTGGGGGGCGTGCAGGAGGCAGCTGATCGATTTTTCTAACTCTCTATCCCTCTCCCTTCCTCTCTGTAAAAAATCAATAAGATATATTAAAAAAAAAAAAAGAAGAATGCATATAAGGGAGCTAACAGGGTCCAGTGTGCCCAGTAAAAAGGACATCAATTTCATTGATTAATTCAGCATCTACTCCATTATAGGCACTGAGAAACAAAACTAAATTAAGACATAGTTACTAACTCACACCTAGTTCAAAGAGAATCTGTGAATTCTAGACAATGATGAGTCCTAAGACCCAAACCAAAAGCCTTACTTTCTCAATAGAAAATTAATAGTATATGTTATTCATGTTTATAATCTCCCCCAATGACTTATACAGTTAAAATAGTAAATATTTAATTAACTTTAATTTTTGGTTCCTAAGAGCTCTAACACAAGTTCTGACATTGGTCTGAGGATTGTAGGGTGAAATGAAAATGGAATTCAAGGCAACTGTAAAACCACAAGATCTCTGAACTTCCATTACCACAGATTAGATCATTTCAAGTCCTTTCTTTAATTTTAAAGTCTTTTTTTTTTCACACAGACACAAGAAATATATGCTAAGCATAAATAGTTATATAGAGAGGAAAACATCATGAATCTAAGTTCATAAAGTTTATCTTAAGACAAAAAAGTGCTTCCATTCATTCCTTTATGTTTTCAACAATGATAACAGATAATTATCAAAGCTATGTATCTACGTTATCTACCTTTATAACTGCTAAATGTCACCACAGGAAAAAATAAATATAATGTACTTTTGTTTGAATTATTCTGATTATTGAGGAATCGTACAGAGGGCAAGTTCAATAACCCAGATGGTCTCTGGTTCGTTCATTCCTAAGACAAGACTAGTTTGGAACTAAATCAAAATAATATTTCTTTCTGTATTTTACAAGACATACTCTGAAAAGAGTAGAAGTATTTAACAAAGGATTGTATAATTTGCTAAAAATGTAGACATAAGAAAGGGTTCGCTCACAATGAAGAAAACATAATAGCTTTAGGAATAATAAAGATGCTATGTGATATTTCTTCACACTTAAAGGATGGGGGAGATACAGAAGATAAAAATGTGTGCCATAGTTTCAAATTAAATCTAAGATTATTTATAGCATAAATAATTTAAAACCTCTAAAAGTAATGCAAAATGCTGTCCCTTATATGACAAAAATGCAGGTATCATTAGAAAAGTAAAAAGCAACAAAAAATTAATAAATTTGTTTTATATCACTAGTGGATATCTGTAATCCACAATGTCAGACTGAAAACTTTAACAGATAATAGCTAAATCCAAATATTTAACTAAAGTATATTTTTAAAGACTATGAATAAATCTTAAAAGGTAAAAAGAATATCTATAATTTGCATGTTTCTTTTCTCTTTTTAACACTATCATGTTGCTTACACCCATACATTCTACCAGAAACATGGGAGTGAGCCATTTGACTCTCTCATAAGTTCTTATATATGGAGAGGAACAAAAATATATAGACCCCTACAAAAAAGGGGGGAGGAGGGCAAATCTATAGACAGATAGCTATAGATATTGGTGAAAGAGTAGTTTAGTCTTCTGAAAATCTAAGTTAAATTCAAACTTTTCCGGGACTTCTTAATTCTGATCTATCACAATATAACTGCAAATAGAGTCACTTTAACCCTATAAAATGATTATTTCCTCATATGCAAAAGGCTAATAAATTTTATCAAAACCATCTTTGATCACAGGAACACACAGTGCCCAACTGTGCCAACTATAAGGTTATTGATTTTATATTTAGTGTGTTTTTACTTAATATTTCACAGTCTCCTCATAAAAAATATTGCAAAAATAAGATATCCGAAAAAAACTCACCTGTTATTAATGCTAAACTTTGTTATCTGGAATTTAAAAAGAGTACTAACAAAGAAAAGATTAAACATACCTGGCTCATTATAGCCTTCTCTTAAGTACTGAATGAGACAAAAAATAAATCTTGGAAGCACAAATTCAGACATCATCAGTAAGTCTTTGGGGACACAAGGGATATTTGAACTTGATTTAATTTGATGTCTTCTGCAAAACCTGTAATATGAAAAACAAAAAAACAATTAATAGTGATGTCTTATCTGCCAAGAATACAGTACTTCTATTTACAATATCCATAAATAGAATGCAAGCCAATATCAAAGCCAATGTATTCTTCCTTTATAATTTTTAAGGCACCAGGTTAAAAGAATATATAGTTTTAACAAGTCTTTAAACTAAAAAATGGTACTGAGGGATATTTCTTCCTAATAAAAGACCATACTAATTAAGTTCCCACTAGAATACAAAAAGAAAATCTCATTACAGAATTTATATTTTTAACTGCAATTTATTAGTTTCAAGTACTATTTTATTACTTATATCCTTTATAAACCACTAATTATAAATTAATCATTTCCCAAGAATTTGCATTCCTTAACTATTTCTAACTTTTTGCATTAATGAATAAGCGATATAAAAGTTGAAGTTTATTTTTAAAGTTTACACACTTGAGTATATACATTTCAATTTTTATTTATACTTATTTTAAAGCATGATTGGTATACTGGAGCAAAAAATGAAGAAAACTTCATTCACAATCCAATAATCACAATTAAGGTATTTTGTGACTAAACACAAAATAACCACACTAAACATATAAAATGCCTAGAAATAATCTTAAGAAGGGTGTAGAAACTATTTTAGTTGAAAAATATAAAAGATCTGAATAGAGAAAACTATATAACCAAATGGGAAATCCAATTTTTTTAAAGTCTGTTCCACCAAACTTAATACCATTAGACTTAAATCCCAATGGGACTAATTATAAACTAATTGTAAAATTCAAATGGAAGAACATATGTGTGAAAAAAATCAGTACAAATGAAAAAAAAAATTAATGATAGTGAGCTAGACCTTAAAAACACAGTACAAAGCTATTATAATTAAAAATCTGTGGTAATGTTATCACATCAATGGACCACAATGGAGTCTAGAAGCAGGCTATGTAAATTTGCAAATTTAACATAATAAATGTGGCATCTCAATTCAATGGGGAGAAGACAAAGTGCTTAGGGGCAACTAGTTATTTAAATGCAGAATGTAAATTTGATTTTTCTTATGCCATAAGCAAAATATATTTCATACAGATCAAAATCAAATGTGAAAAAAGTTACCAGGAAGAAAATAAACTATTCCCCTAAATAATCTCAAGGTCTTGAAACAAAACCCATAAAATATAACAATTAACTACATAAATCAAAAGCTTCTATGCAGAAGACAATTACAAACTGGAAAAAATATTTACACTATGTAAAAAAGATTAATATATATGATCTATAACTCTCAAAAATGGATAAGAAAAAGAAAACAATTTAATAGAAAACTCAGAAAAGGTCATGAACGATTCAAAAAAGAAGTACTGAATAGCCAACAAACGTGAAGATGCTCAAGTTCCCTAATAATCAAAACAATTAATCAATCATCAAATCAGCAAATAAAACAATGAATAGCTTCTCTTTCTGCACTCATGTGACTGAAAAGAAAATTAGGATAATTCTGTACATGTTGCTTCATAAAATCCTTTATGTAAATAAAACAAGTATACTATTTCTTTTGTTTAAAAAAATAAAGCAATGAATTTCATTAAAATAAAATATGAGTGCCCTCGCCGGTTTGGATCAGTGGATATAGTGTCCCCCTTGCCCACGGACCGAAGGGTCTAGGTTCGATTCTGTACCTAGGTTTTAGCTTACTGGAGGCAATCATCTCTCTCTGTCTCTCTCCCTTCCTTCCACTCTCTCTTTAAAAAAAAAAAAAAATCCTCTGATGAGAATTAATAAAAATTAAAAATAAATAAAAATGACCCCTTTAAAAAAATAAATAAATACTAAAACATGAGTAACTAGAAAATGTCCATTTTGTGATGCCTACTGAAATATTTGACCCATGCTATGAAGCCACTAGGCAGCGGTTCTCAACCTGCGGGTCACGACCATCGGAAAATACATATAGCATATCAGATATTTACATTATGATTCATAACAGTAGCAAAATTACAGTTATGAAGTAGCAACGAAAATAATTTTATGGTTGGGGATTACCACAACATGAGGAACTGTATTAAAGGGTTGCGGCATTAGGAAGGTTGAGAACCACTGCCGGACTAGAGGAAGGCTTGAGGGGAAATTTTTCACTTAGAGATCAGACTGTTAAATCCTTACCAATCTGTATGACCAGAAGTGAAAAAAATTAGGCTCTGTGATGCTTGTAAAACACACAGCACTGATTTCAAGCACCATTTATAAAGTGTTCTTACCAAACAAGATGAATTTGAATGACATCACAACTCTAGAACTAACCACCATTTATAAAAAAAACAAAGGAGATAAAGGAACAAGTTAAATGACACCACAAAAAAGCAGACAAATCATGAATGTAGAACATTATACAGGACTTCACTAGAGGTGATGGGCCCATATTCAGCGTGCAGATGATGTTTTATTCAGTTGTACATTTGAAGCCTGTATGGTTTTATGAACCAATGTCACCACAATAAATTCAAAAATAAATAAATAAATCCTATATAATAAAAGCTTAATATGCTAAGTGTCCGGTCGCCTGGTCGTCCATTCAACCAATCAAGGCATAATATGCTAATGATATGCTAAGGCCGCTCAACCACTTGCTATGATGTGCACTGACCACCAGGAGGCAGATGCTCCAACCGGTAGGTTAGCTTGCTGCTGTGGTCCAGCCAATCAGGATTGCGCAAGACAGGCTGGACACGCCCTGGAGCCCTCCCTCGGTCCCTCCCCAGCCCCGATAGTGCACCGGTGGGGTCCCTCGGCCTGGCCTGCGCGCTCTCACAATCCGGGACCCCTCAGGGGATGTCAGAGAGCCAGTTTCAGCCTGACGGAAGAACAACCAGTCCCTATAACATGCACTGACCACCAGCGGGCAGACACTCAACGCAGGAGCCGCCCCCTGGTGGTCAGTGTGCTCCCACAGGGGGAGCACAGCTCAACCAGAAGCAGGGGCTCATGGCTGGCGAGCGTAGCTGCAGTGGCGGAGCCTCTCCCGTCCCCGCAGCAGCGCTAAGGATGTCCAACTGATGGTTTAGGCCCACTCCTCATGGGAAAACAAGGACCTCTCCCCAGGGTAACCTTTCCTCCCCTAGTATATGCATGGTCATGAAGTTTAGACCCCCTGACCTTTCATATCACTGGTCTTGCAGTTTTGACCCTCCCTGTGACCTTTCCTCCTCTGGCCTTTGCTAGTTGTACAAGTGAAACCCCCTGAGGGGGGTGATGAACAAGAGGATCAGAGAATAGCTCTTAAGCATTAAGCCCCCAGGACAATGAGGTTCTGACCCAAATCAAATACATCTGGGTCTCAGCTGTGTTTCAGCTCCAGACTGAGAAAAGCATCAAAACCAGACAAGCAATGCCAAAGCTGACATCAGGACCAGCAGCATTGACTATGACCTCCCTGACCTGATGCCAACTGATCAATAGAGACCACAACGCTGAAAGGACACACTTGGAAAGCTGAATATTCTAATGGGATCCTCCCCTGAGACCTTCAGATAAAAATCCTCAAGAAGAAGGACTCAACGCAGCTCTCTCTAGGGAGAACTCCCATGCCTTTACCCACCTCCTTCTTTAATCCCCTTCCTCCAGGAGAGGTTTTCTTGCCTCTCTCCTTCTGGGCTCCCTCTGTAACTTGTTTCGTGAGCCCATTTCTTCTACATCTGCAACTTTCTAAATAAACTTTCTCTTATAGTTTGAGTCTAGACTCTTAATTCTTTCTTAGCCAGAACTCAAGGACCCAAGGTTGTTAAACCAGGTCCAGTCTGACTCCACCGGTCTAACACCTAGTGCCATTTTGCCCCACCAACAGATCCATAAAAGACTTTGCATTTGTTTAAAAGAATGAGATAGATCGATAAACATAAAAATAGAATCATGCCTAAGATAAAGTGAGAAAAGAAATGCATAGCAGTATAAATAATCTCTTTTATATATTAAATTTTACAGAAAGAATAGGCAAGAAAATGTTGACATATGTAAGAAGAAAAATATTTAGAAAATGTATACCAAATTTGGTGTAAATTACCTGGGAGTGATATGGCATACTTTTATTTTCTACATTAATTCTACCTGTAATTTTGAATTTTGTATAACAAACATATCTAAAGAGAACCAAGATGGCGGCATAGGTAAACACCTGTACTTGCTGACTCCCACAACCACATCAAAATTACAACTAAAATACATAACAACTATCATCCAGAACCACAGGAAAGCTGGCTGAGTGGAAGTACTACAACTAGAAAGGTAAAGAAGAAAGTGCACTGAGACTGGTATGAGGTGTGGAGGCACAGAACAGGCTGGCACCCAGGTGCGCCACTTTTTTAATTGGAAGGGAGATACAAGCTCCTGCTTGCTCTCAGCTCCAGTGCCGGGCGAGACTCAGGGGGACCCAGACACATACAGAGAGAAACTGGACTTTCTGGCATCAGGGCAAGAACTTGGGGGCGTCTTTCTTCCAGACGGAGATGCTCCCAAGGTTCATTGTTCCTCTGCTGGAACCTCCCCAGTGCAGGGCTGACTGGCAGCCATTGCTGTTTGCTCCACCCTGGAGATTCCCTGAGTCCCCACCCTACCCAATTTATAACCCCACCCAAGCTGTGCACAGTGGCTTTTGCATATGAATGGCCTGTCCTTTCTCAGCCTAAAACCTGTGAAACAGCTGCAGCTGTGTCAGGAAGCCCCAAAGCTATCAAAAGAAGGCCCAAGACTGCACCAGCACCAGCACCAGCCTGTCTTGCTTCATAGCTGGGCCTCGTCTGGGCACTTCCAAACCCGATACAAAGAGGAGGAATCTGCAGATCTCTCTGTAGCTCCTGCTGGGTGGCCCCAGGCAATGGCTGACTTTGCACCTCCTTGGAGATCCAAGAGCCAGTGTACCCAGTGGTCAGTGCGAGACCATACCAGATTACAACTCTTCACATCCATAAGTGACACACTCAAGGAGCAGATTCAGTGAGCACCAAA